GATTTCGATTTTATTTTATTTTCCCTTTCTTTTGCTCTTTCGAGTGGTGCATATGAGGGTCACTCAGTGTTTTATTTTTGTAAGTGGGCTCTGTTATTTGGGCATGGCTAGAATACTGATCATATACATGTTGAATGGAATTGTTGACATTGTGATAAAATCTAATATCCATGAGTGAATTATAGTACTAATTCTGTGTAATATCTCATTCATTGGAAAATCAATGGCCAAAATATCACGCAAATAACACAGAAAGAGCTACTTCTTCTTCACTAAAAGAATTACTTACGGGAATATGAGGGGAGAAACCTCTCAAATTATCAAAACCTCTCAAATTATCAAAACACGCGAATGCTTTTTAATTAGGTAATATTAGTGCTGAACAAGAAAGGGGTACTAGGTTTAGGGTCATGGTACACCATATTCTTTGAGTTATAGTGAGAGAAGGGAGTTACACTAGTTGATCTTTTGCTATGGACCCAACATTGGCAAAAGATATTGTCTCTGTTTAGTTCTCCGTGAACGTGTTAGAAAGAAACATGCAAAAAACTTACCAACTCTCTATTCTCCTTAAGTACAGCAGAAGGCTTGATGCTAGTGACTCACACGGGATGCGAGCTTTGGCGAGTAGGATACACATGGTTTTGAAGGTGTCGCTTTTGTAAAAAGCAATTCGTGGAACATAATTTCGCAAGACAAGAGAGACTATTTCTTTTGGAGCTTGAAGATGTAATGGAGGAGATCATTGAGGTCAGCAGACCTATTTATGGATCCTTATGTTGTATGAGGCATTTGAAGCTCGAGGAAGAAAAGGGTCTTTAGAGAAGAGTTAATCATTGGATACTATCTTGCTCTGCAAAATGTTTTAAGTACTCGATTCTTGGCACTTAAAAACATCATTGGTTTCTATTTTGAATAATGTTACTTAGAAAACAGAAAAGAAAGGGAAAAATTTTATCTGTACTCCATAGCCACATCGACAAAGTCAATTCCAATTTCACCAATTATTACTAGTGAGTATAGTTAATTAAGTAGTTTTCTTTCCTTGATGTTGTTTAATTTCTTTCTCAACATCAATGAGGTGGCTGGGCTAGAACAACTTCTTCGCGACTTGCATTTCTTGTTTCCAATTCTACTTCTATGCTTGCTGATAGCAAAGATATTAATTCTTATTCTTTTTTTGACACAATTTCGACACAAGACATGAGTTGGAAAGACCATTTACTGAAGAAGAGATTAAGGGGCTGTATTCTTGTTGGGTCGTGATAGAGCTCCCACTAATGGATATAGTGCGCCTTTCATTCAGGACAATTGGGACAATTTCAGATCTTGTGGAAAATTTCGCTAATTTTCCCCAGAGTGGTGTACTAGATAAAGCTTTGAATGCTACTTTTATCACAATCATACCTAAGGTTGAAGGGCTGAAAATGTGAGAGAGTTTCAACCCATTAGCCTTGTGGGAAGTGTGGATAAGATTCTAGCTATGTTACTTGCAATGAGGCTGAGGAGGGCACTAGGACTGATGATCTCTTGGTTTCATCTTAAGTGGTGCTTTGTTGGCAAATGAGCGTATTGATTCAAGATACAAAGGAAGTTAGACCAGGGGTACTCAACTTGGATTAGAGAAGGCATGCTATTTGAGTACTCTGATGTCCTATTTGACAGAGGTGGATTGGTTGGATGCTTGCTCGTGTGGCCATGACTTCTTTCTCCATCCCATAATTACCAGGATCTCCTACTTCGGTAGGCGATCCCTTCTAGGATCTCGATTCTGTCGCTCTCGGAACGGGTCTCTCAAGGATCTCAATTTTTAAATTTTGGGATCTCGAACCCCACTGACAGGGATCCAAATTCCTGCTTTTAGGGATCTCGATCCCAACCTTAATGACCAAGACAGCAACCAAACTGTTGATTTTCTTTGTTTATAGCCAACTAGCAACACAACTATTGCTTGCTTGCTATCAGTAATGAGATCCCTACTTTAAAAAGTATACACAATCCTAGATTATTATACACTTTAAGGTTGGTTACAAGATCCCCAAAAAGTTGGCTCAAGATCCCCAAACGGTTCGAATCTCGATCCCTAACATTTGAGGATGTCAATCCCTAACATGTGCATTGTATGGATGACGTTCCCAAACATATGGATCTTCTAGCATTTCATGGTCCCTCCCTCCTGAACCCGATCTCGGTACTGTTCCCACTCCCAATCCCAAGAACTATGCTCCATCCCTGTTGATGGATCTCCCAAAGGCTTCTTTGCAAGCCTGAGAGGGCTCAGATCAGCAGATCCCCCTTTTCCAATTTTACAATCATGGAAGAAATGTTAAGTCAGTAACTTTTACGTGCTCATTTGGTCTCTTTGATGGTTTTAGGCAAGCCTGAAGCAGCCCCTCATCACCCATTTTCAGTTTGCCGATATTGTTATTTTTTGTGGGGCTACCTTTGATCATTTAAAGCTCACGCCCTTTGTGTTTCTAAAATAGATACTCCCCAAACAGTAGACATGAGTAACAGTGCTATATTGGATGAAAATTTCTCATATCGTTGCTTAAATCAACCGATGATTGCATTGTAATGCAAAGTAAAAGAATTTCCAAGCAGGTAGATGCTTGGGCTTGCTTCTGTGTTTTGGTAGATGTAACGAAACCATATGGGATCCAGTTATTGATAGGGTGGAGAAAAGATTGGCCTCTAGGAAAGGAATGTTTCTCTCTATGGCTAGAAAGGTAACACTGATCGAGGTCGCCTTTAGCTCCATACATGTTCCTTTTCCAAGCATCTTGTGCAATTATAGAGAAGCTTAAGTGCATACAAAGTTTATAGCAAGGCAATAGTGATACTCAAAAGCTCCATTTAGTTAATTAGAAGCAGGGGGCTTGGTTTGAGACACCTGAATATTTGGAGAGTGGCATTGGAGGTCTAGCTATGAGGATGTAGCGTTATGGAAAAAGGTGATTGTTGCTAAATATGGTTTTGAAAGAAATGGATGGAAAATCAGCACCCTAATAGATGCTCAAGAATCTCAACCATCTGGTATGGTATAGCTTCAGTTGCTTATGTGTTCGAAAGGAATTTGGATGAGAACTAGAGGAGCAGATTGGATTTTATTTTGGGATGACACATTGTGTTCCCCCCACCCTGGAACGCTTTTTAGGACTTTTTCAAATAAGTCTTCTGCCTGAGATGATAGTTAAACAGTGCTATAGCAGAGTAGATGGGGGGGTTGTGTGGTGCCCAATCTTCTGCAGAAACCAAGATGATCAAGGGATATCGAAGCCTTTTTACCTCTTGAAATGATTGTACTCCATCTACATCCCTAGATCTTACTTCGATAGACTTGGAAGATTTTGTACCAAGCTTTGTCTCTCAAAGAATGGAGGCCTCCCTAGGAAGGTTGGTATGGGACATCTTGGCACCCTCTAGAGTTTTATGCTTTAGGTGGCTGGTACCATCAGATTACCAGCTCGCTGGAGACCACCTACAGCATGCCTACCGCATTAAGGTATACATTTCCCCTACATATGCCTCATGTGCATGGATGAGGAAGAGACAGGGGACTACTTGTTTATCCATGGGCCTCTTTGAGGAAAATTGGTTTTTCCCAAGATCAACAGTGGCGGTGGTTGCCAATTGGAAATATTACCCATTCGCATAAAAAGAAAGTACCTTGTGGAAATTCAGCCTCATTGGCATTTTATGGCGCTTACAGTTAGAGCGGAGCAGATGGATATTTAGGGAGGAGTTTTCAAGAACCGGTGTTGTAGGAAATCTAGAGATATGATCATTTTCTGGGCCCTTGCTAGTAAGGAATTCAAAGGTTTCCATGCAATGGACTTAATGAGCAAATAAGTCAGTGGTGACAACTGACAAATAGTCGAGTGTTGGAGCATGCTTTTCATGCTTTTTGTGGGTGGCACCTCCAATTGGGGTTACTTAAAGTCAACTTTGATGGGAGCACTCACGGTAATCCTGGGCCAGCTGGCGTTGGGTGTCATCAGAGATTATTTGGGATTTACTCACATTGATTATGTTTGGAGATGCCAATACAACAGAAGCTTTGTTCGTGATCACAGGTTGTGTATGTTCTTTAAATCATTCACATCTCACATACAATACAGAGGTTAATCTTTTGTTGAGAGAAGCCAATCACTTTCCAGTAACTGTCATAAACAGCCAATGACCTGTGTTTCATGGTTTCTTCACCTTAAACTTTGTGCCATATGGGACCCAGTTGGATACTGGTTCAGGTATGACACGGTGATGCAGGACAAATTGGAACCCATGAGTCCAACTAGGACTGCTAGTTTTCTTAAGCCTTAAATGGAGCAATAGAGAGTTTCAAGAAGTCTTGGTGTAAGAGAGAGTCAACGAGGGGGAATTCCTAGGATTGGGAGTTGGAATATACTTAAGACCTTGTGGGCTTTTGTAAAGGGCATTAATAGGCATATAAGGGTGGGACGTGCCAATTTGGGGGGCTATGAATAATGTAGTTTTATTTTGATTTTAACAGTTTTCTGTAGCATTGTGGTGAGGCTTCTCCCACCATTTCTCTCTCTAAATTCTCCCTTTGTGGTCGTCTTCTCTTAGTAAGTTGCTGGCCCCATTGTTTCACCTCCTCACATGGACATAGCTGGATTCTCCATTGTGAAGAATCCTGAAGGAAGGATTCTTGAGCATTGAACACATGGACCAACATGTTCGGATTCTTCTCATTATGTGCAAATTTGTCTCCCAAAAGAATCTTGTAATATATTTCTATAGTTAATTATTTTAATATGGAAAGATTGTCATTCGTCCCCTAGGGCTCATGGGTCCACCCTAGTTTTCACCTACTTAGGGATTTGATCCAGATCATCTTTACAAATCTATTTTCTTAAATCCATGAATTCGGAGCTTAAAAAAATGCAGATCTGATGATCTATGAAGAACTGAAATAAATGATCCAAAAGGAAAAGTATAATATGGACCATTTGAGGATCCATGGTTGTGGAGGTTGAGATAATAGCTATGTAGAATTTTGGAATTTCAATGCATCTCCGTGATGGATTTTGGAATGGTGGACGAATGCATCTTGGGACGCAGACTAACCTCACCTTGTTGATATTGTTTTTCTCACGACATTGGAGCACCCGGATGAGATCTACAGGTACGCAAGATTTGGGGTCCATTGGACCTCTTCCTTTTTTAGAAAAGAATATTTTACTAACATGCAAATCTGAATGTTATTTTCTCCTTCAGTGTGGGGCTTTTTCAGCCTAAAAGTGCTAGAGGTTGGTTGGTTCATACGATCTTTTTCCCATGGGGTGTGATTTCATGAAATCCCATGGGGTGTGATTTCACGAAACAGTTTCATAATAATATAATGAATCTGCACCTTCAAAAACCACATTGATGCATTTGTTTGATCCCCACATTTTAAATATTCATTTTTTTTCATTCTGATGAATAATCTCAAAAAACAAAAATTTCAAAAGAGCTGCCTAAAAGATGTTTTTTTTTTTTTATAAACACACTGAATGTAAGCCGTCCATTTGCTGAGTCATTATCTGGGCCTCAAGGGCAATTTCTGTACCCCAGATATCATAGATAGCCTCATCATCATCATATGAGCAATTTTAGAAAAGAAAAAAAATTGATTTTGTGTTCTTAAAGGCCTAGATCTAAATGTCCATCAAATGGATGACCTACATTCATTGTTGGAGCAAGATTTATTTGCACCTTTTCTTGGATGAAAATTCAATTCTTTTGGTTATTGGGATGAATAAAGTGTGCAAATTTGGGGTCATACAGAGGCTCTCAACATGATCTCTTAAATGAATGCCTTGAGTATATGACTATCTATTAAAATTTTGCATGAAATGAAAAGTTTTGGCAAAGTGTTGCGTCGGTGCCTAGCTAGCACGACCCACCTCCTTTACCCGAGCCTGGGAGGGGTTAATGGAACGTTTAAGGTCCTCGCGCTTCTTAGATCAAATAGTTGGGAAAAGGCTTTGAGGATGATGATGAAACTTTTGCATGAAAACACTCATATCTCCCTCTCTTTCTCTCTCTCTCTCCCTCTCTCCCTCGACTATATATATATATATATATATATATATATAGTATAATACTAACTAACTTACACTAACTACTTACTAGAACTAACCGTAAGTTAA